ATTATTGAAACTACTAAACATCTCACATTAAAAAAAAATCGTTGGTGTAAAGTTTTGTTACACAAATATGCAAATCCCTCTATATATTAAAAGAGAAGTCACTTTAATGAATTTTGCTTACGTGTCATTCATAGGTGCAATGTAGAATTAATTCTTTTAATTTGATTGGTTGTTGACACTTGAATTTTTATTTATTTAATTAAAGTTTTTTAAAAGGAAACTAATCCTAGAATTACCTAATCTAATATATATTACCAAACAAACAGTTAACCATCTTAAATACATATGATTAATTCAATTTGTTTATAGAAACAATTAAATGTCACATATTCCATTATAAAAACTTAGAATATACATATAAATACAGATTATATTATAGAAATAAGTATATAAACGATTTTAATTTTTTTCTATTAATAATGGATAAAAAATCATACATTACAGAAAACTAATAATATTTTTATATTCACTCACTATATATATGTATTCTTAAAATATGTTCAATTAATGTAAAACTGTCAAATGTAAATTTTTTTAAATAATCTATCATTTTCCAGAGATAAATGTCGATAGTATAATTGAGTTACTACTTTCAAAATTATTTAAGTATTTTTATATTTAGAACATAAAATTATATGGTATGTCATTTTAAAAAATATGAATAAATGAAAAAGTTTATTATAATATAAAATTACAAAAAATGAAAACATTATATTAATACATGGTTAGAGTTAATATTCTATTCGTATAATTCATATAGCTTTAAGTATAATAAAATTGGCATGTTTATTTTTAATAAGAAAAAAAGAAAATAAATAAAAACATGAGTGAATAATAATAAAACCTTTTGTTGTATTCTTTGTTATTTTGTATTTGTACATACATAATTTTTTATTTGTATACCAAAATATTTTTTACGTATCAATATAATTGTAAGCTAATTATTTTTAGGTGTTTATACAACATAAAGAAAAATTGAGAAAGGAAGATAAATATAAATGATAAGTTATAAAATTGTTAATGTTGAAGATGCAAAATATAACGCAAATTAAATTTAAAATAAATTATTTTAAAATAATGATAAGTATTTTTTTGCAGTGTAATAAACTTTTAAAATATATGATAACGAAGTTATAACAAAATTTATACAACTAGAAACATGTTTTGGATATACTAAAACTATTGAATCTCATGTTTATATTAATCTATGTCTAAAATAACGACATCATATCTTTTAAGAATTACGATATTTTATGTTATATAATTATTTAATCAAATTTACTTTTTTGAAATACAGTTATTTAGATTTACTTAAAATATGTATGTATAGAAGTAATTAAAAAATTAATAATAAGATATTTACTTTTCAATGAAAATCTTGGTCAAAGGAATCAATTTTTGATAAGATAGTGTGAAGATTGGAGAGAATTTGATAATGAATTTATTTGGTTAGTCAATTGTGATTTTATATTAAATTCTAAATAAAAAAAATATTTAAGAAAAGGGGAAAGAGAGGGAGATATGGTGATGATAAGGATTAGAGAGTCGGTTATAATCATAATGAAGATGAAAGTGAATATAAGTGAGAGACTGAATATAAGTGAGATAGATTCTGGAATCATTTATTAATATTATGTGAAAGTGTTTAGAAGATTTAACAAAATCTGGTGAAAATTTTGCAACCAAAGAGAGATAGAAAGAGATTTAAAGTGAAATATTGAGGATCATATTAAGGACGAGGGTAAGCGAATGAATATATGTGATTGTGAGAGAGTGAATGTAAGTTTGAGAGATTTTGAGATTATTTGATCAACTAAGAGAGAGAGAAAGAAAAAGAGAGCAAGAGAGGTGTACAAAGACATACAAAATAATGCAAAGAGAGATACATAAGAAACAAAACGAATGTGTGAAAAAATACAAGGAGAAACGAAATGAGTAAGATAGAAAAATATATTAAAAAAACAGAGTATCTATGTAAAAGAGAAAGAAAGTTACAATATATATATACATTTATATTATTATTTATTCATGCAATATATAACTTATATTAATGTCCGCACAGGCGTGCGGGCCGTCCACCTAGTAATCATAAAATCATATGAGTAGAAACCTCATTTAATCCATATTAAAAGTGTGTTATATTACTATGTTTATATCATTTAAATTTAATTATATATCATATACAATATATAAGATTGATTATTTTGATTTATTTACCCTAATTGTGAATAAACAAGAGTAATAGTTAAATTTATATGCATACGCCAATTTATTACATAATAGTAACTGATTTCTTAGTTATTTAATATATATTTATNTATATTACTATGTTTATATCATTTAAATTTAATTATATATCATATACAATATATAAGATTGATTATTTTGATTTATTTACCCTAATTGTGAATAAACAAGAGTAATAGTTAAATTTATATGCATACGCCAATTTATTACATAATAGTAACTGATTTCTTAGTTATTTAATATATATTTATTATTTTATTATTTATAATATGCAGAAAAATATAAAATAAATAATAAATATAAAATACTTATTGTGCATAACGTGCAGATCATAACCTAAATATGTATCTCTTTAATTATTTTAAATCTAAAGTATTTTCTAAAACAAACGAAATGAGAATAAAATTCAAAATAAATATTTATATCGAGTAATCCCCTATATATTATTTGAGAATCATTTAAAAATTTGTAACCTTAAGTTTGTAAGAATTAAAAATAATCTCAATCCTACGTGGCATAACTCTTTGGCTTCTATTTCAAATCCCAAGAATTCTAGAGCATGTGATATAATGTATAGTTTAAAAATTATATTCTCTAGCAATATAATATTCCGTAGGCTATAGTTGGTCGTATATACCAAATATTTGTTGTTTCGAATGCTTTCCTTAAATAAAACCTACAGAATTACCTAATGTGATCAAAATATATATATGACAATTAATGATTTTAAACAATAAAGATTTGATAACAATTTGTATACTTTTTTCATTATGTTTATTTCTTTATTATTAAAATAAATTACACAATTACATTAATCATATAATAAAAATCTAGATTTTTTTTTATGTATGTTGTATTTCGAATTTTTCAAAATGAGTATAAATTACTAAAACTGTTAAAAGTCCCACATAAACTTTTAAGATCAAAGTTTTAATTTTTTTTCTATACTAAGATATAATGATTATTATAAGACCATATGAAGAAATAAGTTTAGTTTATATATATTTAATATCACTTTAATTAAATTATACATCGTATGAAAATACATACATATATTTTGATATTTGCCTTGAACATATATTGAAAAGTTAATATTTTAATTTTGAAATATGTCATTGTTATTGTTTTAAATGATTATAAATTATTGAAACTACTAAACATCTCACATTAAAAAAAATTCGTTGGTGTAAAGTTTTGTTACACAAATATACAAATAATCATAAAATCATATGAGTAGAAACCTCATTCAATAAATATCCATACTAAAAGTGTGTTATATTACTATATTTATATCATTTACATTTAATTATATATCATATACAATATATAAGATTGATTATTTTGATTTATTTACCCTAGTTGTGAATAAACAAGAGTAATAGTTAAATTTATATGCATACGCAAATTTATTACATAATAGTAACTGATTTCTTAGTTATTTAATATATATTTATTATTTTATTATTTATAATATGCAGAAAAATATAAAATAAATAATAAATATAAAATACTTATTGTGCATAAAGTGCAGATCTTAACCTAAGTATGTATCTCTTTAATTATTTTAAATCTTAAGTATTTTCTAAAACAAACGAAATGAGAATAAAATTCAAAATAAATATTTATATCGAGTAATAACCAAAACATAAAAACATAGCAAGAGAAAAATGGAACATAAATAGGACTGACACGTGAACGTAAACTTCTCATAACCATAATTAATTTTTAAAATGTTAAATCATGATATAAAACTGAGTTAATTTTTAATTTGTTAATTTTTAATTTTTAATTTTTTAAATCATTATGGTTATGTTAAATCATGACCATAATTAATTTTAAATTGTTTATTTGTATTTGAAAAACTTAAAATATTGTTTTTAAAAATAATTTAAAATTTAACATAATTTTTTATAAATTATTTTAAAAAATAATAATTTGTAAAAAATAGAATTTTCTAATATTATTAGACAGATAAATAAATTATATTAAATTAGTTTTGAAACTTTATATATTTTAAATGCAAATATTTTACCGATTGCTTCTTAAAAAACATTAGGGAACTTGCTAGAACTCTACCAATCAAGCCCAGTGACACTCCATTTATTTTCCATCACTCGAACACTGAAAAATGAAAAGATATATGAAATCAGATCCATTAAATTCTAAGATTTGATCAACATTTCTAACTAAAATTGTTTCTGATCCTACGTATAAATAATTATATAAAAATTTCAAAATTCTTAAATTTCAGTACATACAAAAACAATCATATATAAATTTTAAATTTGTCAATATTAAAATTTTATATTTTAATTATATATATTCACCATGCGCAAGGCGCTAGTAGTAGAGGGAGTATTTAGCAAGGTTGACCAAATCGTAGAATTTTGCTATACAGGCATCGTTGACTCTAGTTTTGCTCTTTGGAAAATAAGGAAGCTTCCAACTTCCGAGATAGACATAAAGACAAGTCAAGAATCTGAACTACATACGTTTGACTACCCGAAAAGGCCCCCTTGACTTTCATTATATCCGAATTAAAGAAAAAAGAAACTGCAGGGATAATATCGTAGTTTTCAATATCAACCCGTGGTCACGGGCGGCGGTTATACAAAGTCTTAAGCAGGCAGACTCGTGAAACTAATCATTGAATTAATTTAAAACCTCTCAAAACTCTTTATTTATCCCATTCTGTGTAACAGAACTTGTCTACTTCTGAATTTGGGAGAGAAAAAAAGGAAGGGAAGGAAAGAATGGGAGAATGTAGGCCACTTGGTTTCTTATTGGGGCTACCATTTGCACTTGTCGCTCTCCTTCTATCTCTTGTTGGTGCTGTTATCTGGATCATTGGGTAACTAAGTTACCTTTTTCTCTTTACATTACTATGTTTGTCTAGCTATGTAAATCATTAACGATGACGATCCAATTCTCTTGCTCTATTTCTCTCGGTTATGTTCCTCTTCTAAATTATCCCCCAGATCTACTTAAAAAAAAAAAAGGGAATATTCAGATTAAATTTCATAGAATTATATATCTGGGCAGGACGATACTGAGTTGTTTGTGCCCATGTTGCTTCTGTTTCGCTGCGTTAGCTAACTTCGCCGTAGATCTCATCAAACTCCCTGTCAAAGTCCTCCGTTGGTTCACCCACTCCATCCCTTGTTAAGACCAGACTCTGTCACTTTTGTTTTTGTAGTTATAATTTAGTAGGCGTGCTTATTCTTATATGCGTACAAAAGCAGAGGCCGATCTATGGTCTCTTTTCTGGGCTGTGGAATGCATCCACAATCTGCATTTCTCGAATTTTATTTTTGAGACTTCCTCCGAGGACCTTCATGACGTGTTCAGTAATCCGGATAACCATCTCAATCTCAGCCTTGTCCGCCATAATGTCTGCTTTCTGCTATCCAGGATTGCTTTCTCGAGTCTAGATCACGCACTCCAAGAACGAAATGAAGCTGCTGACGCTATTGCTATAAGTGTCATTCGCGATCATCGTCACCAGTCTTACATCGCCAGCAATGCTCCCGTATGGCTACACCATCTGCTCGCTCTGGAAGCTCAGCATCTAACGGTTGGGTGACTTTCTTTCTCCTTCTTGTCTCGATGTCTACTGACATTTCTTTTTCTCTTATGTTTCTCTATCATTTTTTACTGTCTCGAATATTTTTACGTCTAAGTGTTATAAAAAAAATATTTAATTAATGCTTTTAATTTTAGTATGTTAATGTTATTTGCGACCTTTTATTGTGTGTGTTATCAGGAAACTGATTTTGCAAATTGATAACTACTTTGCGTAGATTATAATCCCAATTTGAGCCCAACGTCATAAATGGGCTTTAGCATTTAAAATTCGACTTAAATCGCTACGAACCCTAAAGCATGATGAGGAGGAGTCGGTGGGTTTTAAGAAAAGGCCAATTTACTTCTTTGGGCCCATAATGGACGTGGGCTTATAGTAAATATTAATAGCCCGACAGAACCTGAGAGATGGTGGAGGAGATGGGACACTTATCCAAAGTGTGGGGTTCACCAACCCCAACACACTCAGTAATGGAAAGAAAAAAGAAGAGAGAATAGTCACATTAGAGAGAGAGACAGAGAGGGAGAGAGTTGGTGGGAGAGCCGATCGACAGATGGAAAAAGGAAAAAAGAAGAGAGAGTAGGCGGGCGCGGTTGGTGAAGGATTACGACCTTTCGCCATATCCACCCACTTTTATTTCATTTATTATATATATTCCAACATTCTTCTCCTAAAACCTCAATCTCGAAATTCAATCGAAATCGAGATCTCTCTTAAAATTTTTTTGTAAACTTTGTATCAAATCCACCAAAAAAAAAGAAAAAAAAACAATGATTATAAACATCCGAGATTCCACCATGGTCCGCCCCGCCACGGAGACCCCATCCACATACCTCTGGAACTCCAACGTAGACCTCGTCATCCCCAGGTTCCACACTCCCAGCGTCTACTTCTACCGTCCCACCGGCTCCTCCAATTTCTTCGACCCTCAGGTCTTGAAAGATGCCCTCTCCAAGGCCCTTGTCCCTTTCTACCCCATGGCTGGTCGCTTGAAGAGAGACGACGACGGTCGTATCGAGATCGACTGCAACGCCGCCGGTGTCCTCTTCGTCGTCGCTGATACTCCCTCCGTTATCGATGATTTCGGTGACTTCGCTCCCACCCTCACTCTCCGCCAGCTTATCCCCGAGGTCGATCACTCCCCTGGCATTCACTCCTTCCCCCTCCTCGTCCTCCAGGTCAGCTTTTTTATTTTTTTATTTTTAGCCTTTATACTAGTGAGGGAACAAATAACTGTAGATTACTTTCCTTTAGTAGTAGTTGTTAGAGAACAAAACATTTATTGATGTCTCAAGTTGCCTCCTTTTTGTATAGGTGACCTATTTTAAATGTGGTGGGGCTTCACTTGGTGTTGGTATGCAACACCATGCCGCTGATGGTTTCTCTGGTCTCCATTTCATTAATACCTGGTCCGATATAGCTCGTGGTCTTGACCTCACCATCCCTCCTTTTATTGACCGTACCCTCCTCCGTGCTAGAGACCCACCTCAGCCTGCTTTCGATCATGTTGAGTACCAGCCTGCCCCTGCCATGAAGATCCCTCTCGATCCTTCTAAGTCATCCCCTGAGAATACCACCGTCTCCATCTTTAAGTTATCGAAAGACCAGCTTATTTCTCTCAAGGCTAAAGCTAAGGAGGATGGTAATACGGTAAGCTACAGCTCGTACGAGATGTTGGCTGGTCATGTGTGGAGGTCAGTGGGGAAAGCGCGTGGGCTTCCGGATGATCAAGAGACCAAACTGTACATTGCTACTGATGGAAGGTCAAGACTGCGTCCTCAGCTGCCGCCTGGTTACTTTGGGAACGTGATATTCACTGCGACGCCACTGGCTGTTGCAGGGGATCTGCTATCAAAGCCCACGTGGTATGCTGCAGGGCTGATTCATGATGTTTTGGCTCGCATGGACGATAACTATCTGAGGTCAGCTCTTGACTACCTGGAGATGCAGCCTGATCTCTCAGCTTTGGTCCGTGGTGCACATACCTACAAATGTCCAAATTTGGGAATCACAAGCTGGGTTAGATTACCTATTTACGATGCAGATTTTGGTTGGGGTCGTCCTATATTTATGGGACCTGGTGGAATTCCATACGAGGGTTTGTCTTTTGTGCTACCAAGTCCTACAAATGATGGCAGCTTATCTGTGGCCATTGCTCTCCAAACTGAACACATGAAACTGTTTGAGAAGTATTTGTATGAGATATGACAGAGACAAGCAGCAGAAAATGATATGATGATACCTCCTTTTCCCCCACTTAAGTGGGACTTTTTTTTTTGCTTAATGTCGTAGATGATTCGTTATCCTGTATTTTAGAGGGTACAATAAAGTTATGTCACACATAAGTTTTTCTTATGGTCTGTAACACCTGGATCGGTCATGTAGGAGGAACTTTTGCGTTTATGTTTATACTGATGATGATAAGTGTTGTCCTATGTCGATGTTTCATACCCTCTTCTGTCAGTTTTCCTGCAATAACAACTGTTTTTGTTACTTTCTGTGTTGTGTTTTTTATAGTCAATGTTATGTAAGGTTATGCCTTGTAGCTCTAACGTAATGCACGATCGTCCCATACGAAAGTGTATACTGTGTTACTTTTCTGTTCTGGCAGTACTTTTATGTGCTGGTAGGCATGGAGTTTGTTTAATTGACAGGACATAAAGACAGAGCACTAACAACTTTTGGGTTTGAAGATTTGATAGAATATATTGTCATTATTCATTAGATGATCGAAATAGATAATTGATAACATTTAGTAAAGATGATATATTTTTTTTTTTTGTTTCCGGGCTCATGAGTTAGGACTTGTGCTCAACAAGGTGATGCTTTGGCTCTGATATATCAATGGCATGTCCTCCAGTTGAATTAAGGTGAGGAGCATGGTTAAGCTTTTCAGTCTTGTAAATATCCTCTTCCAAATGAATGTCTTCCTCAACCATGACCATTCTCGTTGGTTCGCCATGGGGTCCTGGCACTATGACTTCTTCGACTTTGAGGTGTTCATCAAACTTGGTGATTTCAGTTTTCTGAGAAGACATTCTTCTTTTCTTGGTACAGCAGAAGAGAGCAGCAGCAAGGAATGCAAGAAAAAATAAACCTCCAAGAGAGACTACAACCACGATGATAACAGTTGAATGGTGCCCAGGTGGCGGCGGTGGGAAATGGGGACTAGGTGGTGGAAGAACGTGAGGTGGAGGCGGTGGGAAATGATGACTAGGTGGTGGAAGAACGTGGGGTGGAGGCGGTGGATGATGAGGACGAGGATTAGGTTGCGGTGGGAAATGAGGACTAGGTGATGGTGGAGGAACGAAGTGGGAAGGAGGCGGGGGTTGAAGTGGGTGATGGGGAGGAGGTGGGGAAATGTAGGAAGAAGGAGGCGGTGGTTGAAGTGGGTGATGCGGTGGAGCCGGGAAGGGAGAAGGGTGGGGATGTTGATCGGAGGGTGGTGGGTATAAGGGGAAAAATTGAACAGAGGCAGCCATTTGGTACGTATGTATATATTATGATGTTGTTGCAAAGGTGAGGTGAGTTAGTTCATATGAGTTTGAAGCCTATTTGTAGTTGTGTAAAAGCATGATTGGTGGTGGCGTGTGCGCTTGTACTTGCTTGACTCTCATGCTAAGCCTTTTAAAACAAAAAAAATTCATTAGACTTTGTTGATTGTTTATACTCCACTCTAGTGATATTAAATTCACAAACGGCTAGTTATTAATTTGTCGGTGTACTTGCTACTATCTCCGACACTGAGACTAGTATTAGCATTATATCTGCATTGATCCTCAAATTTGCTCTGCAGAATTTCATTTTCCTTGACATCATTTGTTTGGAGCCATTGTTGCATTTGGAACTTCTGTTGCTTCAGTTGTGTAGGGATCATAAGCCTCTTGCTTATTCTGATAGGGTCTTTGTTTGTTTGATTGAATTTCGCTTGTCTAGTACCCTTACCTTTCAATGTAAGTCTGATAAGTTTGTAGTTACAAACCCACCGATCTACTCTTTCTGTGTATGCCTGACCTGATAGGTTTGTAGATACCAAATGTTTGGTCGTGGAAGTAAGGCTATAAGTGCCTCTACATTACGGCGTTCCGTGTTAAAAAGTCTTCCTACCAAGCTAAGCTTAAACTGAGCTATCAGTTCAGAGTTGTCAGCCTTTGGTAATATGCCCAGGTCATCGTCTTCCTCTTCTTGCGCCTGCTTTGAAAAGTTGTTTTTGCTGTTTTCGTGGGTTGACTTCATTTTGGCAGACAGGATATAACACTTGGATTTGGATACAAAGGATGGGTCTTAGCAGAAAGTTGGAATGATGGAGAAATCACTACAAGAAAACAGAGCGATACTGAGGGAATTTCCGAGGGAACGTTGTTTCCTCGGAATATTCCGATGATTTTCCGAGGGAATTCCGAGGAAACACAATTTATGTGTTTCCTCGGAATTCCCTCGGAATATACCTAGGAAATTCCGAGGAACAAAAGTATCCTCGGATTTTTCCGATGACATTTCGAGGACGCAATGTCCCTCGAAATAAACCCAGGAAAATCCGATGAGAAATTATAGCCGTTAGATAGCCGTTGTGGTATTTCAAAAATTCCGAGGAAATTCCGACGCAAACGGCTATTCCCTCGGAATTTCCTCGGAATTTCGTGGGAATTGTCGGCAGATGATATCTATAAATACAAGCACCCCTCATCCTCTTCATTC